GGCCTAAGGTTTCCTAATTCTCATATTACACCTCAAACAGGCAGGAATACTAACCACTAGCCATAACCTCAGAGTCTTATCAATTTCCCTACTTTCTCACCATCAACCAAAAATCCCTTAAATCTTAAATCAACCATAAACACATCGAAAGACATACATGGAAAATCATGAAAAGCTATACTCCCCATACCTGAGCCGATTCAAAGCTTTCACGATTATCTCCGGGAATCCTTCCAGCTTCTGCCTCTAACTTTCTCTTCAGAGTTCTTTTGGCCTCAATTCTTACGGTTAACACAAATGAATCCTAAAAACCCTTCAGAACTCTCTTTTTGTTAAACCTAGACTTGGGCCAAATAATTGGGCTTTTTCCATTATATCCTCACTTACTCCTCTCAATTATCCAAATTACCCTTCTTTCACTATTATTTATTTTAATTCATAATAATATTAATAAATTAATATTATATACTATCAATTAAATAAATAACCCACAAATGGCATAATTCTCAATAATTCCACAAACACCGATAATCACTGGAAACACACAAAATACGAATATTCTTAATTAAATAAATAAATTAAAATATTCCGATTAAATTTGGGGTGTTACAGGCTTCGCAAGCGCAGTCGGAAAAGGAAAGGAAAGGCAAAGGAAGATTGAATGGCAACAAAGTTAGAGGAGGCTACAACAATTCGACTGGTCGAAATTAGCAGGAAAGAAACTGGTCGAATCAAAGAAAACTCTGGAATTAAGGCAACCAAAGAAGTGGTGTTGCAGGTAGAGGAAGAAGTGGTGGATGAAAGTATGACAAAAGTCAAATTCAGTGTTTCAATTGTAAGAAGTATAGTCACTATTTTAGTGAATGTCGAGAAAAGAAGAAGAATCAAGAAATTGATGCAAAGATGGCGAATCATGAAGAAGAAGAGATGTTTCTAATGGTCACAACAAGAAACGAAGAGAGATTCCAGGACTAGTGGTACTTGAACTCAGGATGCTCATCACACATGAATAGAATGAAATATTGGTTTATTAACATGAAACCCTCGTCGAAGAACATGGTGAAATTTGCAAATGACGATACTCTAGCAGCTGAAGGTATTGGCGATGTTTTGATTATGAGAACTACAAGGTGTCGATCAAAGACAAGATGATGATAGTTCTCGACGCAGGTGATAGGTTGATCTTGAAGGCTCCAATGTCTTAGAGTAGGACCTTCAGGATTGAACTCAATCTGATAGAACACAAGTTCCTAGCAACTGCAGCCAACAGAGATGAATGGTTATGGCATTTTTGGCTAGGTCATCTTAACTTCAATGACATTAGAGAGCTAAAGAGGAGAAATGTGGCTTTGGGATTACCTGAAATCGATATTCCAAGTGAAGTTTGTGAAGAGTGTGTTCAGTCGAAACAACACAATAATAGCTTCAGTAAGGATGCAGGAAGGAAGTCGAAGGCAATTCTGAAAGTCATATACTCTGATGTATATGGTCCAATCCAGGTTGATTCGATTGTAGGAAACAAATACTTTGTCGCGTTCATAGATGATTACAGTCGAAAGCTATCGACTTACCTCATCAAGAAGAAAAGTGATGTGATCAAGGTATTTTCTAGATTCAAATCTATGGTCAAAAGACGAAGTGGTCAAAAGCTGAAAATTCTGAGGTCTGGTGGTGGTGGAGAGTATGTATCGAAAGAGTTTGATGCATTATGTGAAAAATAAAGGATTGTGTATGAGGTGGTGCCACCATACACTCCACATCAAAATGGAATTGTAGAAAGAAAGAACAGAACCATCATGAACATGGTGAAAAGTATGTTGAATGGAAAGCATCTACCCAAAGAATTATGGGGAAAAGCGATTTCGATAGAAATATACATATTAAACATATGTCTGACAAAGAAGCTTGAAGGAATTACACCAGAAGAATGTTGGTATGATGTCAAGCCTAGCCTCAGTCACTTCAAGGTGTTTGGATCTATAACACATAGACATGTGTCAGATCAATTGAGAAGGAAGCTTAATGATAAGTCAAATTAGATGATCTTTATATGATATCATTCGATTGGAGGTTACAAGTTATTCAACACAATGAATAATCAGGTAGTGACCAGCAGGGACGTGATCATAGATGAGCTTAAATAATGGGATGGACTGAGAATTTCAAGAAGGATTCAGTGAGAATCTCTTGTGAAAACCAACCACTGAAGTTGAAAGTGAAGTTTGACGGGAAGAAGTCAGAGATGAAGTTGACCCAGGTAAACCTCGACAAACAAGACACATGCCTGCAAGGTTGCAAGAATGTGTGATTACATCAGATGATGTGGTCAATGAAAAATGTGAGCTGGTACACTATGCTTTCTACACAGTGTTGTACCCCGAAATTTGACCAACCTCTCTGGCTTATGTTTCATTTCATTGAATTAGCATATCACATTGCATAAGCATACCCCGAATTTGTCCTAACCATTTTGTTTATTTCCACCTTTCTCGATTTTATTTCCTGTTTTACGTTGCCCGTTTATTTCTGGTTATTTAGGCACGTGTCCGCTTGCAATTGGTTGATTTTTTAAATTTTTGTCCAAATAAAGCCGTGACACTTGGCTTAACGAATTTTCCTGTGAATATTATTTCTTTTATTTTTATTTTCTTAGTTTTCTAAACTTTTTTCTTTTCAAAAAATATTAATAATGGTATTTTGTATATATATATTAGATTATTTATGTTAATAATATTGATTAGACTGGTATTAATTTATTTGTATTATTTAACATTATACTAGTTTTTTATGGTTTAGTTAACTATTTAGTTGTGGTTATTAATTAGTAACGTTAATATTTTAGTTTTTTATATATAGTTATGTTATTGGAATTATTAAGAAAAAGAATGGAAAGAAAACTGAAAAAAGGGAATTTGAATGAATCTGATGGAAGGCCCATGTCTGGCCCGTTAGGGTTGAGTTAAAACTGCATATAAGGGAAGATCTTCATCTAGCTAAAATCACTGTTCACAAAAAGACCCTAAACGGCCGCCCCCTTTCTAACCCTAAAATCACTGTTCACGGTCCCTTTTCAAACCCTAACGGCAGCCGCAAACCCTAGCCGTTGCACCAACTCCACCTGCATCTTCATCATCCTCATCAATCCAACCTTCTTCATCAACAGACTCACCATTCAAACACTTCAAACTGTTACCCAGAAACGAAAACCCCAAACAATAAGCGATCTGTTCGAAACCTACGATTTTCATTAACCTCTCCATCACACCCTCATCTTCATCCCAATATCACACCCGATTTCATCGCCTGCTCGCACCTTAACACATTCGTTTTCCAGATGATGTTTGTGAGTTGGTTCGAGATTTAATTCGGTTTCAGTTTTTGACGCAACATTCATGGGTTCCACCTTCTGGAACGTATTTTCATTCACAAATGGTTGTTCATCCGTGTAGCTTTTATACAACTCGGGTTTCAATAACAGCTCACAACTCATTATATGCAGCAACTCCGACCGGTTTTGGTTCACGCATTGTCGCCATTTTTGACGTAATCGACACCACTATGCTCGCGGCAACATCAACAGTAATTCCAAACTACAACAACAACGAGTTCTGATGCCGACACGGTGATGATAACGATCTTGCGGAATCAGCCGCAACATACCACTCAGGCTACCGTGTCAGTTTTCTCCCATTTTAAATTGTTCAATCACCTGTTCAACGGTATCAGTTTGAGTAGGGTGGTTACGTGATTGAGCCTCCGCTTCAGCTCACGTTTCCAGCCGCGGAACAACAATGAGACATCGAATAAATTCATGCCTCTCGGCTCATCGCAGCAGCATCAACATTTTACTTTTCTCTGATGTTTAAGTTTCATTACCGTGGATTAAACTTTAACGCATATGATTGTGCGAATCCGGTTTTGAACCAGGGCTAAACGGTGATTAGCATCTGGAAAATTAACTCAACAAGTTGTTCACTTGAAGCCGCTCCATTTGTTGATGTAATACGGCTCTGTTGCGGTGAAAGGTTCGGAGTTCAGTTCTGATGCCGATACGGAATAACGATGAGTTTGAAATAGCAGCAAGGTTACGAAGTCACCAGATTTCAAAGATATGAATGAAAACACTAATCAGAGGCGTATACTTAACACGCTGCCACAACCATGATATCCTCATCTTCCCGACACAACATTCAAACTCAAATTCAACGACGAGCTTCGAGCGGGTGGCTCAGCCTTCGCGAAGAGATTATTTTATCTCTGTGACTATTCAGGAGATTCTTGAGAAGGTGAAAAGTGAGGGAAGTAATGGGTTTGTGGTAGATGTTGGTGCTATTGTTGGTATGGCCAGTTTTGCGACTGCAGCCATGAGGTTCCGTGTCTTGGCGTTTGAGCCTGTTTTTTTTTTAGAATTTGCAGAAGATCTGTGAAGGAATCTACTTTAATAGAGTTGCGGATTTGGTTACTCTCTTTGATGCTGCAGCTTCAGATCGTATCGGTAACATTACCGTTCATAAGTTGGTTGGTAGGCTGGACAATAGTGCGGTATCCGCCACAGGAGCAAAGTTGGCATTTAAGTCCAATGAAGAAATAGCTTTTCAAGTACGTACTGTTCCGCTTGATGAAGTGATTCCAACATCAGAGCGCGTGCTTCTGCTCAAAATAGATGTTCAGGGACGGGAATATCACGTTCTCAAAGGAGCTACAAAGTTACTCTTAAGGAAGGGAAGCCAAGCTCCCTATCTCATATATGAGGAAGATGAGCGTTTGTTGCAGGCTAGTAATAGCAGCGCTAAAGAAATCCGAGACTCCCTTCATAATATGGGTTATCATGATTGCACCCAACATGGCACATATACACATTCAATGCTAGCTCCTGATTTTGTCTCTTCAATCCAATTTCCACCCATTTTTGCGTACAAAAATCTAACAGCATTCAAAGCACTTCAACTGCAAGAAACCTCAACTATTGTTTTTTTTTTGGGCCTCCCGAAATTGACAGAATGGATATGGTAGGAAAAGTTGGAAGCTTAATAACTAAGGGGGTATATTCAGTTGCTACCCCTTTTCACCCCTTTGGTGGTGCTGTTGATGTCATTGTTGTTCAGCAAGAAGATGGTAGTTTTAGGAGTACGCCGTGGTATGTTCGGTTTGGTAAATTTCAAGGTGTTCTTAAAGGTGCTGAGAAGGTTGTTAGGATAAATGTTAATGGGGTTGATGCGAATTTTCATATGTATCTTGATAATGCTGGGGAGGCTTATTTTATTAAAGAGGTGGATGGTGATGATAATGTTAACTCGAACGTCGTTGTTACTGAGTCTGAGTTTACTCCGGGAGAGAGTAGTTTGAAATTTGATGTTACTGGTCGTAGACTTGATCATAGTGTATCTGATTTGGGGGTGCTTCAGTCGACAGGTGACGATCATTTATCGGATTTGCCGAAACTTCGAAAGGCAGAATCGGATGTTGATAAGAGATTTTACAAACTTCAAGATGATCAACCTGTGATTGCAGATTCGGCTTATTTGCCGGAATGTGAAGAGAATTATGTGGATTCGCAGGATTCTCATCCGGGGATGATTTTGGTTAGTGGTGATGGTCATATGTTGACAGCCCCTATCGCTGAATCAGAGCCAACTGAGAAGAATTTGGAGTTAGATGCTCTTCAATGTCATTTGGGGCCAGTTGCAGAGACTGATTTCTATGAAGGCGAAGAGGAATTTAGTTCCATTGAAAATACATGCACTACTGATGATGTTAGTCAGCTGGATGCTTCAACAGCTGATGTCCCATCCATTATTTATAGCTCCAATGTTGATAATAGTAATCGTGGGATCCATCTGGAAGATTGCCAAATAGAGGAGGCACCTATTTGTCACACGGAGGAAACTGACACTGAAGAAGCTGCATCATGTATAAATACGGGGAGTGTCTTCAAAAGTTGTTTGGACTTTCATGAATTTAATCAGCAGGCTGAAAATGACGGGTCCTCATTGGTGGACCAAAATTCAGCTGAGGAATCTAATGAAAATGGTTCAAATGTTGATGAAAATGAAAATGAAAGCATAATACAATCTAGAAATATTGACGGGTTATCTCCCCTTAGTGTGCCTACTTCTTCAGGCGATAGTATTTCTCCAAATTTAAAAACAAAACTTCAAGGGGTTGATAAGGATGCATCAGCTGAAGTTGACACTGATTCTGGCAGTCATTCTGGTACAAATGATGTGGAGTGGAATGATAGTCAAGAAACCCATGTACTTGAAAATACTAGTGAGGAAGATAATGTAACAGCACCTCAGACATTGACTTCCACCGACGGGGATCAAAGTCATTTTGATTCAAGATTCGACATCTCACTTTGTGGGCATGAACTTAAGGCGGGTATGGGTTTTATCGCAGCTGCTGAAGTGTTTGAGGCACATCGAATATCTGCAGAGGAATTTAGAGTATCTGCACCATCAATAACTAAGAATAAAAATCTTGTAGTGAAGGTCAGAGGGAGCTATCTACTGTGGGAAAAGGCCTCCCCTCTTGTTCTTGGAATGGCAGCTTTTGATTTAGACTTACCTGTTGATCCTGAAGATACAATTCCTGTGGGACAGGATTATACATTGAAGTCTAGCGATGATATTCCTGGACCATCTTCGTCTCGACGTAGGTGGAGACTCTGGCCTCTTGCTTTTCGAAAAGTAAAGACAGCTGAGCACAATAGTATTGATGAATCAAGTGAGGATATATTTTTAGATTCCGTATCTGATTTGTTAGGTTCTGTGGTTGAGCCAACTCCAACCTCTGTTAAGCGTGAGTCTCCTCCCAAGCAATTTGTAAGGACAAATGTTCCCTCTAAAGAGATGATAGCGTCATTGAATCTCAAAGATGGTCCCACTGGAACAGCGATATACCGACGGCAGATTCAATTCAGCAGCAAGTTTGCAGTATAACTCGACATGGTTTGAGTCTCTAATGTATCACCAGCTCTCATCGGCAACAACTCGCCTTTTACGGTAACATTTCGAACTGAGAGCGTCGTTACAAATTATGTCATATTCCTGTTATTTTGTTTCATTTTCAATGAGGTTAGCACTTGATGAATCCTAGTGGTTATATTTCAGTGTAATGTGCGGAATCATGATAAAAAAAAACGCAGGTGTTGCAATGTGTTATAGCATGAAAGGATTGTTATCCTAATTTTCTTTTCATGTGTGTCCTATATTGCTATGCGTTACCGATCGACAAGTTTACATTTCATTGGGTTGTTGCTTTTGAATTTTTGTTGTTGCTTTTAAGTGTTGACTTGTGTATGCATCTTAGTTATGTCTATTTCAACATTGCCACGACAGCGTGTATATTCTTGACGTGGTATCCATTTTAGCCACTTGTGTATATTGTTGCTACTTTGTTAACAGTTGGCACCCTGAGACATGAGCTTGATTATGATTCAATGTACTTTTCTTTTTTTAAAATGATATTTATAATCAGTATGTATGCTTTTGGAATGTTAAATTTTGGCAAGTTGATTTGTGATTGTTGCTGCTCCTAAGTTGTTCAATATGAATGATTTGTTTTGATTACCATTGATGTTCAGTACAGTGGTGGAAGTGTTAGCGGTTTAGTTCTGCTATAATATTCCACTTCCAATTTAATATCCTGTTGCAACATCCATTTTTGCTACTTCCTTGATATTCTTTGGCATTTGAGTTTTATTATCAAGGTTGACACCAAGTTACAGAGTTGTTATTTCGTACATAGTTTTGGTATTGTTGCCATGTCGGTTATTTGGTGTTTCGATAACATTTTGATTCTGAGGTTCCATTTGAGGTTGTCGTTGCTATGCGGAATATTTAAATATTATTGTAATGGTTGTCTCAAAACATGTTGATATTCTATTTTGTTGGTCATACTGATGTGTTTTTGGAGCTGCCACTATTTTTATCCTTGCTTCAAAATTGTGATAGTTTGTTAATTGTTAACCAAGGCTTGTTTTAGTAATGCAATGGGTGATTAAGTGTTAAGTATTGTAATGATAATGGTTGTTGCTACTTCTTATGATTGCCTAGTGCATTTGCTGTACTGATGTGCCTTATTTTTGAATACATTCAGTTTCGGTTTTTGTAAGCATTACCGATATATCGTTATTGCAATTAATTATCATTTTTTTTATTTAACTCATTTTCGATAACCTCTCAAATTAAAATCATATTTGTATTGAACTAAAAAAGGGGATTAAGTGTAGACTTTCTTCCTCTCCGAGTGTCGAGATGCTCACTGTAGTGTGGGTGGTTTAGACACTCGTCTTTTAATATAAAGACGTCTTTCTTTCAAATTCTAACCATTTTCAAACAATTTCTCTTCTAAAACCTCGGCCCCGCGCCGAGTGCATTTTTAAAACACCTTTCAATAAGGAATCAAACTCTCTTTGTATTGAACTAAAAAAGGAGGATTGGGTGTAGACCTCTTCTTCTTCGAGTGTCGAGATACTCACTGTAGTGTGGGTGGTTTTGACACTCGTCTTTCAATACGAAGACGTTCGTATTCTCCGCACTCGCCCATATCCTTCTCTCCTAAAACCTCGGCCCCGCGCCGAGTGCATTTTCAAATCTCTTCAATCATAATAAATCAATTTCTCTTTGTATTGAATTAAAAAGAGGGGATTAAGTGTAGACTTTCTTCCTCTCCGAGTGTTGGGATGCCCACTGTAGTGAGGGTGGTTCCGACACTCGTCTTTCAATACGAAGGCGCTTCCCGTCCATGTTCAAATCTCATCTCCTTAAAATCTTTTCTTTGTGTTGAGCTAAAAAGAGGATTGGGTGTAGACCTCTTCTTCTTCAAGCGTAGGGATGCCCACTGTAGTGAGGGTGGTCTCGATGCTCGTCTGTCAATACAAAGACGCTTCCAACATTTCCTCATAAAACCTCGGTCTCGTACTGGGTATACTTTCAATAAGAAAATTGACTTCTCTTTGTATTGAATTAAAGAGAGAGGATTGAGTGTAGACTTCTTCCTCTCCGAGTGTTGGGATGCCCACTGTAGTGAGGGTGGTCTCGATACTCGTCTTTCAATACGAAGACGCAACTTCTTCCACCACCTATCACCTTCACAACTTCATTCCGTAACTTTTCACACCTAAAACCTCGGTCTCCCACCGAGTGCATTTTCAAATCATTTTCATAACAAAACTTGAATGGTCGTGGAGTGGTTAGGCGTAGGCCTTCTCCTGTCCCGAGTGCTGACGTTTACCGTAGGGTTCTCTGTCGCAAGGCACTTACCATTCAAAACCAAAAAACATCTTTAATAAGAGAAGAAGTTCTCTTTGCATTGAATTAAAGAGAGAGGATTGGGTGTAGACCTCTTTTTCTCCGAGTGTTGGGATGCCCACTGTAGTGAGGGTGATTTCGACGCTCGTCTTTCAATACGAAGACACCTCGTTCGCCACACCCTTTTAAAACAAAAACTTTGAGATAACGAATTGGGTACTACCCGTAGGGGTTACTATCCGAGGACATGTCTCGCCCCTTTAAAACAATCAAATCAATCAAACGTGACTTCTTGCCCCGAGTGGCGAAAACCTAATCAACCTTTCGAAAAGGCATGCTACGTCCGTTCTACCGCAAACAGGTAACGCCTAAGTCTCCAACGAGCGAGCAGCAATACACCTAAACTGCTAGAATGCGCACGATAGGATTGTCTACCAGAACTCACCCACAAACCGTAGGCCGAACTACGGCTGCTCTGATTCTTTACTTCTTCCAAGTAAAGATACGTAGGCACAAGGGCCATAATCCTTGCCGAGCACAATCCCCCCTATCTGTAGTTTCCCGAACTACGTCGACTCTGATTTTCTCATATCTGTTGAGAATACGTAGGCCTAGGACCGCGAAGTCCTACCGAGTCCGTTCTCTCCCTTCTTCCCCCTGTTACTTCTCTTTCCCCGTTTCTAAACCCTACTTTCTATCCCTTGGAACACTCTCTTTATAGCATAATATTTAAGCAAATAAATTCACACATCGACAAACAAAAGGTTCCCATCGAGTACGATGGATGCGAGGGGTGCTAATACCTTCCCCTTGCATAACCGGCTTCTGAACCCGTTCTTGGTCGCGAGACCATCTTATCCATTTCTTTCTTAAGGTTTTCTCGATATTTTCCTTTCCCCTCATGGGATAAATAAAGTTCGGTGGCGACTCTTCTGTCTATCCTTTTCGCCTCCCCGTCGTTGCGCGATGCATTTTTTTTTGAGTAGCGACACACAGATGTCGAACTAGTCAATACAGCTGAGGCATTGAAAGATTTGAAGTGGGCGAAAGTAATGAGTGAGGAGTTTGAAATGTCAAACTTGGGAAATCTCTCATATTTCCTTGGTATCGAGTACTACAAGAGTAGTAAATTTTTAATGATGCACCAAAGAAGATATGTAGATGAAATACTCAAGAGATTTGAGATGCAAGATTGCAACCCAACTTCGACTTCAGCTGAGACCAGATTGCAACTTTCGAAGGATTCAGATAAAGATGGTGCCGACCTAACCCAATATAGAAGACTTATTGGGTCACTTCGATAACTTTGTCACACAAGGCCTGACTTAACATACAATGTGGGTATGGTAAGTAGATTCATGTAGAAGCCAACGAAATCACACATAGCAGCGACGAAGAGGTATCTGAAAGGGATTCTCGACTATGACATTTTGTTTCCTGCAACTGATGAAGAAAAAGAATGCAAGTTAGTGGGATACACCGACTCTAGTTGGTGTAGTGATGCTAAGGATAGAAAATCCACAGTTGGCTATGCGTTTATACTAGGTGGTGTACCAGTTGCTTAAAGTTCGATAAAGGAGCCAGTAGTGGCATTGTCATAATGCGAAGCAGAATATATAGCTCATTCTCTTTGTGCATGTCAAGCAACCTGGATGGTGAACCTGGTCGAAGAGATCACAACAAAGAGTCATGGAACAATTACCATGAAGATCGACATCATGTCAGCAATCAACTTGGCGAAGAATCCAATAGCACATGGTCGAAGCAAACACATCAAAATGAGGTTCCATTATCTTCGAGAGCAGGTAGCAGAAGGGAAGATGAACTTGGAACACTACAGAACTGAGAATTAGATTGCAGACATCATAACGAAGGGAGTGTCAGTCGAAGTGTTCAAGAAGCTAAGGCCTATGATGAATGTAGATAGTTTTGACACAATGAATTATGTGGTGTGTTAAATATGTAATTCATTGATTTAGAAATATTAGATTAGATATTTTTGTGCTTTTATAGTTTGAGCTTTAACTTGGGGTGCAAACTAACCTAAATCTATAAATAGAGAGAAACTTTTGTTTTGTAAACATCACATCTCATCTCATCATATTTTGTATTTCACAGTTTGCAGTTGCAAGTAAAATAATAGAATTTTCACAGTTTGTGGGCAGAGAGTTCTCTGCATAGAATTGTTCATCTTCTTTTTCTCAAACGTTTATTTTTTTCCTTTCTTTTTAAACTTTTCTTTCATTATCATTACGTGAGTTGAAACAATCTTGAGATCAAGATTGATTGAATGAAATTTTCCATAGATTGTAGTTGAATTTTTAACCGTTAGTACAATTTTTGTTTAAAAAGTTTTATCTAATTTTTTTAATTTATTGATTAAATGAAAGAATCTAGTTTACGATCTTTTGTCATTTCCTCATTTTTGTTTCTTTTTAGAATCTCTTTATGATTAAATGGTACACTAGGTATTATGTAATGAAAAAACCTTTTTTATTTTATTAAACTGTAATGCACACTAAAAAATATTATTTTTGTACTTTTTTCAGATTAATGTAAAGCTGTAACAAATTAATTCTCCTTTAATTTTGTATTTTGTAATGTGATGATGTAAAAACTTTGTGACTATGTAATTTATCGTATTCACACTCATAATCTCTCTTTCTTCACCAATCTAATCTCAATTTTCAGGTATTTTCTCTACTCCAACCAAATTTCTATATATTTTTTTAATTTTTTTTATTTCTCATATTATCTTATGATCTACTCAATTGATATGCAATTTTAATTTTTTTCTGCATTTTTTATTCAATAGTAATTTAAAGTTTATATTTTTAATAACATTTATGTATCTAATACTAATCTATATCTGTATTGGTTTGATCCACATTGGTGAGAAAATTGAGGGAGTTAATGGATTCGGGAAACCGACTGCGGATGTGAAAGGGATTCACATTCCAACGGTTAATCTCCATAAGATAGATCTTGTTGTTGATGTTCTTATTAAGAACCCTAATCCGGTTCCAATTCCTTTGATTGATATCAATTATTTGATTGAGAGTGATGGAAGGAAGCTCGTTTCCGGTTTGATACCGGATGCAGGTACTATCCATTCTCATGGAGAGGAAACTGTGAAAATTCCTCTTACTTTGATTTACGATGATATTAAGAAAATATATGCTGATATTAAACCCGGTAGTATTATTCCTTATTTGATTAAGGTTGATCTTATCTTCGATGTTCCTGTATTGGGAAGGTTTACGTTACCATTGGATAAAACAGGAGAGATTCCGATTCCGTATAAGCCTGATGTTGATATTGATAAGATTCAGTTCAAAAAGTTTTCGATGGAAGAGACGATTGCGAATCTTCATTTGAAGTTAGAAAACATGAATGATTTTGATCTAGGTCTCAATGCACTTGATTGTGAGGTTTGGCTTGGCGATGATAACATTGGAGGTGCACGGCTCAGTAAATCTGCGAATCTTGAGAAAAACGGAATGAGTTACATTGATGTTCCGATTACCTTTAGGCCTAAGGATTTCGGTTCTGCGTTGTGGGATATGATTAGAGGAAAAGGACTCGGTTACACCATGAAAGGTAACATTGATGTTGATACTCCCTTTGGTGGAATGAAATTGCCAATCAGCAAAGTAGGCGGTACTACTCATCTTATGAAAGATAAGGGTGCTGGAGGGTGATGACGAGGTATCAACTCCTTTTATTTGTTTCTTATCTGCCTAAAGCTAAAACTAGTAAAATATCGAGTCGAGGTGTGGAAACTCATTTTTCCCTTGATCGTAACCAAGACATATATTTGTTTTCAATCTTTTCTTTTGCAGGATTGAAGATCTCTAGCAACAAGCAAGTGTTACTAGCTGTTAGTTTTATTTGCAGCTTATGTCCATTAGAAAGTTAATAAAGGAGGGAACTAAACCGAAAGACATTATTTCTGACTCTCATGAACATTTATTTGTATCTTGAGAGATCGGCATTTGAATTATTCGATGCTTTCGGTCCTGACATGTGCTTCTTTACTTAAAGTTGTGTTCCTGTTTGAATACTTGATTGATTATTATGACAAACTTGTGCTACCGTTTGATTTAGATAAATGATAGTTTGTCGAATTTTCCAGTTTTAAATTTATTTTTCTTATGATAATGAAATTTCACTTCTGTAACAGAGGGACTATGGTACGCCAATAACTGATTCTAACTATTGAATTCAAATGAATATTTACATTACATGAATGTGTAAAATTTTGATGAAAAAATTGAGCTAGAAGAAAATTGAGATAACTAGCATGATGCATAGAAGAAAATTATTGTGTTTGTGTATACTTTTCATCATGGCTTGAATGTTACTTGTTGCTGCACAACTAAAATTGAAGCTTTGGTATTAGTATCTGGTGAAGCAAGCAAATCACCGATCACACCTAACTCGGGATACTCGGTCCAATCTTCAAGTGCAGCGGTCTGAGGCGATTTGATCCCGTTGCGTCTCCCGACGATAATGAAATCGTACTGATTCGCGATACCTGAGATGAATGCAGTTGTATCTGAAGTGTTTTCAATGTTTACTCTATCATATGTCACATTATTTGCACTACCGTAACTTCCTTTAACATCTTTTAGTATTGCATCATCAAGCATAACATCCCAACTACTAAACTCATTATTCTTGCTTGATGAAACCAAGTGATATACTACTAAGTGAAAAGTGTTTTCTTTGATAGCTCTTTTCGCCAAACACAGTGCTTCTCTATCATCTGGACCTCCTAAGAAAACCATCGCGATTTCCTTTGTATTATTGTTTATGCTGATAGATGAAGAGTATCCCCGATTGACAAGGATCGCTACTGAACATGGTGCTCTCTCGAGAACCTTGGTGTTCAAAGCCCTAATATTCTCGTTCGCGGATTCAATAGAACCATCCTCTGCCCATCTCAAATGAAAAGGAAGAATGATTATTGACGCCACTTTGTCCAATGCAAGATAACAGATATCGTCGTGCATAAAACGCAACGGAGATATAGCCGTGTAGGTATTCACTGTTGCAATACCTGCATTGTCGTGTTCGAAAAGATCAAAAGTAACAATAACATCCTCAGAGAAAGTATGGCGACCTGAACCAAGTCGTTCTTGAAGACGATGCGAGATGAAAATGGGAGAGGATCTTCCAACAAGCTCCATGAGATGCAATACATGAACTACCAATGGATTGCTTGTTGTTGGAGTGCAAATCTCAAGAATATTCTTGATTGGAGTTATGTGACTTGGTTTGTGGATGCATGAAACTATCCTAAGTTCTGAGTTTGGTTTCAAATTCAAGATGCTCCTTTTTTGATAACCTGCATATTTTCTTGAAGGGTCATACAAGAACTTCACACCGATTCGCGCCGCGGTTCCCATCACCAACACAGTTAAAGTCATAACAGATAGTGCTTCATTGCTCAAAAGCTGCATAAGAATTATAGTAGACAAAAATTAGACAACTTTTATTTCAATAACTATAAAATTGTCCCGAAACAATCTGAAACCACGAGAGAAACACTCTCTCAGAACTCATGCAAATTCTGTGTTAGCAATGAATTTTTGGTATCATTAATTAAAGTAATTAATTACCATGGCATCATGAAGAAACACATTGGTGCAAAAATCCACAACACCTTTACAGCTTAACATGAGAGCAAGACACAAACCATCAGTCTTAGGCATGTTACAATGCCAACAAATTCCAATTGTCATAAGCATCTTAAACAAATGAACAAGAACAATAATCCCAACCCAAACAAGAATCAACTTGCTATCAACATGTACACCGATATCAACTTTCATAGCACAGCTTGTGACAAAAACAGGACAAAGAAACCAAGTTGAAAACAACTCCAACTGCTTAATCATTTCGGTTCCTAACGGAGGACCGTCAGGAACAATTAGACCGAGAATTAAGAATCCGGCTAAAACACTTTGGTGCGCTGTTAGCCCCAATATTCCAACTGCAAGAGCCATGATGAACACAATATAGGTGTATGTTTTCTTCATCGGTCTACCTTCTGGCGTGTTTCGGACAAACCATTTCATTATAGGACGCAACAAAAGAGGAGTCACTCCTAAGAAACAGAAGTAATAGAAAACAGTTAAAAGAGCTTTACCGAGTCCTTTTCCATCATCAACATCATGCGAATCGGTTTTAATGCTGCTAATAAAAGCAGTGCCGAGTCCTGAAACAATCGAGTAGAAAGCATCCATAACCATAGCTGTTGAGAGCGCTAAACGTCCAAGTTCTGAGTTAAGAATCTCGAGATCAGAGAGCAATGAAGCTATGACAGCAAAGTAACAGCCACTCTGTCCTATAACTATAACAGGAAGATTTTTCGATTCGTATTCTCCTAGGTAATTTTGCCAATCTTCTATGAATAAGTAACTTACTACGAGACCAAGAAACGTCGGAATCCCAAACGAACAAAACGCTATCATCCATGCTTTTCTACCTGTTCTTGTTATCATGCTGACATCCATTTTCACACCATTTAGAAACAGGAATAATCCATAACCAATTATCGATAGCACGCCTATTACATCTTCAGAACCGTAAGGAAACAAGCGGTTCTTGAAATGATTCCATGAACTTGAAATCTTCAACGAAGGACCTAAAACCAAACCAGCCTGCAAAAAATTTGTCCCCTAACTCGTAAGTACAACTCCGATGATAAATTTTTGCATGTTTCGCTTTATGCAAACGGTTAAGAATTATTCTTACCATGATCTGTGAAACGAAATAAGGGACTCCGAGTCGCTTAAGAACCAAATGAAAGCATTGAGTAACGGCAAAGATAGTAAGAATTTGCAGCTCTAACAATGGCAGAGTTGATTTCATCGGCTTTACACCATGATCACGGTTAGCCCAAATTCCATCGGATACAATCTTTGGTGGCATGTCGATACAAACATCGAGTACTAAAAATCTCAGGTCTCTATCAGAACTGGTGGTATTGATACTTATAAACGGAAAAATAGTATGATCTAATATCATATCAGCCATATATTTTATACTCTTCGAATCTATCTGCTCCATTTCTCCGAGAGAATGGAAAAGATAGAATCGAAGAGTGTAAGATTGTAAAAAGAATTATTTAATAAGAATTGCAACAAAATGTGTCTTTAATATAATAAGTTGTTTTTGACAACATGGTTTTGACAACATGGTTTTAATATAAAAGTTTATTTTAATAGCTATCTTTATCTGTTTTTTAGTTTTGTATAATTGTTTGTTGTACTAAATATAGGGGAAAATCTATGTAATTGTTAGTTGTCTTCATTTACTGTTCTACTATATTTAATAAGGTATATATTACTTAATTTTCTTTTAATTCTTTTTGACGAAGTTTTTTAAAAATAAAAAATAGCAAAAATTATTTTTTTTAAAATGAAAATTAAAGGATTTCTTTCAAAGTGAATCAACCTTATTTTAAAGTTAATATATTTTTGCTACATTTTATTTTATTTGTATTCTCAAAGAAAAATTATAAAATAAACATAAATTAATTTTATAAGGCGGTCTTATTAAAATGTAGCATTAAGTAGTTATTTTTAAAAGACGGTGAGAAAATAAAAAATTTTGCTCCATAACTTAAAAACAATTTTTCATTAAAAAAACTGTAAAATTATGTTACACTGTGATATTTTTAAGGATCACAATTAAATTAAAAAATTGTTTATCTTAAATTAGATGGAACTCATGTCTACATACTTCAAATATCATAAAAATATAAATAATTGAGCTTCTTATCGCATACTAGTACCACCTATTTGCTTTTAATTTAAGGAAAATTTTAAAAATATCTTATATATTACTAATATACTATATAAAAATACTAAAATATTTTCAAATTTTGAAGATATACTTTTCGGCGCATCCTGAACACAAATCAGAAATCAACATAAAATAAAATAAGATGTTGAAGCAAAAAATCAGAAATTTGTATTTTGACAAAATAAAATTACCATTCATAACACAAATGATTTCAACATAAAATAAAACATTACATTTCAATATACAGGTGGATGCTTCAACATCTTCACAATATCTTTGACCAGTCTTGAAATCACCACTTTCAACTCGATCGAAACTTTTGTTTCAAAACGGGAAAAAAAACGTATTTCACATAACTCTTACATCTTCATCTATCTTAAACTTATAGTTGTTGAACTCAATTTTGCATTCGTTGTTAATTGATGGTGAACGATACTTTAACTTCATAATTTTTTTATTGTCTCTGTAATGTAGGAGATTAACCACCTCGTATTGCAGATCTGCAAAAGAGGTGTACTTATTGAGCTTAAATTTTTGCTCGGTGTCGTGCTGGAGAATGAGACATTTGCGACATACCAGATGATGTTTATTTGTGACATTTTTTATTTTTATGAACTAAAAAAACAAGAGCCCCTAATTTATAGAAGTTCTAGACAAATGTGAACCTTAAAAATTCTATCATGTATTACTTAGTAGTGCTGATTTCGAAGATACATTTTTGTACTGCCCTATTATCGCATTCTAGAGATATATCTCTGAAACCTCTCCTAAATCGGGTAGGAAACAGAACACATGTGTTTTGTTTGGCAAATTAACAAATGTTTTGAAATATATAAAAAATGTAAAGAAGAAGAACTTGTTTGTAGATTGAAAAAAAAAGTTAATAAGGTCTTTCAAAACTAAAAACATTGTTTCTCCCTTTAGACCCTTAGAATTGCTTCACATTGATTTATTTAGTCTTGTTAGTATTGCATCAATCAACGGGAAGAGATATGGAGTAGTCATTGTTGATAGCAAATGGACATGTGTTAAGTTCATTAGAACCAAGGATGAATCATATGATGTGTTCAACATCTTCTACATACAAGTACAAACTGAAAAGGAATAAAAAGAAAAATTAAAGGTAAGAAGTGATCATGGTGGTGAATTTGAAAATGAGTCATTTGAACTTTTTTGTAAAAAAAACATGGAACTCTCCATGAGTTCTCTTCTCCTAGAACTCCACAATAAAATGGAGTTATAGAGAGAAAGAACATATCCTTACAAAAAATGGCCAGAACCGTGATCCATGAAAATAACTTACCTAAGTACTTGTTAACACATCATGTTATGTTTAGAATAGAATCTATATTAGACATATTATGAACAAGACTTAATATGAGTTGTTCAAAGAAAAAATGTCAAGCATTTCTTATATTCATCAGTTTGGATGTACAAGTTGCATCTTAAATATTAAATTCTATCTGAAAAAATTTGATGTCAAAGCTCATAAGGGTGTCTTTTAGGACACTCTGAAAGCTCAAAGGAAAACTGGTTGTATAACTCTGAAATCAATATGGTTGAAGTGTCAATACACATCAAATTTGATGATAAAGAGCATGACAGTAAAATGTCACAGCTAGTTCAAACTTTTTTAGAAATCTGTGTATCTGAAGATACATAAGGAGCTAGAGGTCCAAAAGTTGTAAGTTTATAAGATAAAAATCCATCAGAAGCTATCATAACTTTATAAGCAAGTGATCCAGAAGTTGATCCAACCTCAAAAGCTCATCCAGATGTTGAAGAATATGAAGAAGCTCAAGATAGCATCTCAAATGCATCACAATCCAAGAAGACCTTCAAGTACAAGTCTTCTCATCCAGAAGAGTTAATTCTTGGAAACAAAGATAGCCCTAGAAGTCTATGTATGCCTTTAGAGAAAAGTATTCAATGTTGCGACTACTCTCTATGATTGAACCCACTTTGGTTGATGAAGCACTTTCTGATGATGGTTGCATTATGGTAATGCAAGAAAAGTTGAATTAGTTTCAAAGAAATGATGTCTAGGACCTGGTACCCAAACCTTTGTAGAAGAACAATATTGGAACAAAATAGGTGTTCAAAAACAAGTTCAATGAGGAAGGATAAGTGGTAAGAAATAAAGCTAGACTTGTAGCTCAAGGCTACAGTCAGCAAGAAGGTGTAGATGTCTCTGAAACTTTTGCACCAGTTGCAAGGTTAGAGACAATCAGGTTACTTATCTCTTATGTTATTAATCATGACATTATTTTATACCAAATGGATGTTAAGAGTGCATTTTTAAATGGAGTTATTTCTGAAGAAGTGTATGCAAAACAACCACCTGGGTTTGAGGACCCAATCCACCAAGATTATGTTTTCAAAATAAAGAAATCACTCTATAGACTCAAACAAGCTCGTAGAACTTGATATGAGAGACTAGGTATTTTTTTGTTAAAAAGTGGCATTCATAAAGGGAATGTAGAAACTACACTTTTCATAAAGACACTTAAGAATGACATCTTAATTGTCCAAGTTTATGTTGATGATATTATATTTGGTTCAACTAATACTTTCTGATAACGCAAAATCATATTGTTTATTTGGCTTGATTTACATGCATTTATTTGTGACTATTGTTAATTTATCTTGATATATATTCTATCATACGGTTAATTTGCTTTGTTTTGCAGATTGTGAAGAATTTTTATTAAAGAAAGAATAGAAGAAGAAATGGAAGGAAAAGAAACAAGAAAGAAAGAAATTGAGAAGAAAAACAGAAAGTACAGATTTTGTGTGTGTGGCGCTCGTCACAGCTTCCTCACGCTCGTCACGAGCATCACGTTCAACACGGTCGTCACAAGGCCGTCACGGTCGTCACGTTCAACACGACCGTCACAAGACCATGACGACCGTCACGAGCCAAGTATCAGAATAAAACAGAAGTCTACACGACCCTCAACTAAATTTCTTCCTGCACTTTCTCCACTCACTGCCCACTACTGGAAATTACTCCCACTCCCTCCATAACTCACCCATGATCTCTGGAAGTTGAGAAATGAAAGATCTCCTATAAATAGGCCTTAGATTCACAATTTTAAGAGGGAGGCTTCGATGTATCGAAGTGCTGCCAAAATTTATAGTGAAGCTATTTTATTTCTTTTATTTCCTTTCCGTTTTCCATTTAGTTCAGAGCATTGTATTTCTGCAATTCTATTTCGCCAAAGTAGAATCCTGCCGACATTGTGGAGGACTACTCTTCAATTTCAGTACTACTTTTCAGGTTTTTATTAATTGAATTATTATTTTATTTCTGTCAGTATGCATGTTATCTTATTCTGCTGCAATTGTTTATTTCCGTTTGCATTAATTATCATGTCTAGCTAAATTAGTCTTATCGGTATGTAACCAAATTAGTAGGACGGGATTCGATAATACCCGGTGCACCTTACCTTTTTACAAACAATCTTTCTGGCCGTAGTTTTTAATCAAAATCTTCTAAATAAACCTTCGTCGCGAAAGCGAGAATTTATTTACAGTAGTTTCGCCACGACAGTGGGAAATTCATTAAGGCACGAACCGGCACGCGAAAGCTGGGGTTCAAACCGGATAGTAAAAACTAGGCATTTATTTTAAATACAGCGAAAGCGCTTTAAAAGAAATCAGAACTTACTTATTTTCAAAGAGTAATTTAAACCCCGAATGGGACTGCGAGAGCGTACATTCCGCCTTAGAATTATGACCCGAGTCAACAACCATCGTGAGACAAAGGTCTTTAAACGAGTATTTTCTCCTGAAGATCATTTGCAAAAACTGTAAAGTACCGGCGACCTGTCGAATCCCCGGTAATTAAGGCATTGCATACCGATATCCCTTATTAATATATTTCTAAAACTAAAAATCTTTATTTCTTTTGTTTTTAATTTCGTTCGCATTTAACTTTCCAAATTCCATTAGCCTTAGCTTTACGTTGTAACAATAGATAACAGTAGGTTGACATTGGTCTCTGTGGGTTCAACAATCTTTTATATTACTTCGATATTTCCGTGCACTTACGGACGCATCACTTTCCTTTTAACAAACAGGGTTGTGTGAAGTGGCTAAGGAGTATTTCAGTAAACTTTTCTCTTTCAAAGAAGGAAATCATGAACATGTTTTGTTACTTATTTAGAAGAGGATGTCTCAAGAGGATAATGAGAAGTTGATGGAGCCAATATTGATGGAGGAATTATACAAAGCTTTGATTCAAATGCATCCAGATAAATTGCCAGGACTGGATGGATTTAATTCGGTTTTTTTTTATCAACAATTAAAAGGTATGAGTGGTGATGATATATACATTGTTTTTACCAACTGGTTGGATAGAGATTTATTCCTGTACAAACTAAATGACACTAAATTTTCCTCATTTCGAAGTGTGAAAACCCTCAATCTATGAAGGATTTGTGCCCTATTTTGTTGTGCAATATAGTGTATAAAATGGTGTCTAAGCTTCTAGGAAATAGGATGAAGGGTTGCTAACTCAAATGAAGGATCTACGCCTTATTTCATTTTTCAATATAATGTATAAAATGGTGTCCAAGCTTATAGGAAATAGGATGAAGGGTTGCTTACCCAAATGTGTATCAGAGGAACAATCGGCATTTGTGAAAGGGAGGTCGATTCTTGATAACACGATGATAGCTATTGAGATTATTCATGCCCTAAAGCGGAAGGCAAGAGGTAATATAGGAGAGTTGGCGCGTAATATTAATACTAGCAAAGCATATTATCCCATGGATTGGATCTTTTTTAGAGGGTGTTAGGTTGGATTGGTTTTGCAAATAGGCGATTCCATCGGGTGATGATGTGTAACTTCGGTGCAATATTCTGTTTCGACTCATTTTGATTGAGTCATACCAATTCATCCAAGGAGGGGATTGAGACAAGGATACCCGTTTTTTCCATATGTTTATCCTTATAGGAGAAGGACTTTCATCGCTCATCAATATAGCAATGGCCAAAAGAGACATACATGACATTCACATATGTATAGGGGCATCAATGGTGTCCCATCTACTTTTTGTTGACGATTGTTTTCTTTTTTGTAGGGATAATCTATCTGAAGCAAGGCATCTCATGGAGATTCTTTGAGTATACACAGAAGTGTTAGGTCAAGAAATTAACCTGACCAAATCGGAGGTGTTTTTCAGTCGAAACATTAGTAGACCAGCTCAAGAAGATCTCTCTTGTCTGATAGGTGTCCGACATGTTCGTGGTATGGGAACTTATTTGGGATTGCCTTCAATGATTAGAAGAAGAAAAAACTAGACATTTTTCTTCATTAAGGATCGTATTTGGAAGAGAATTAACTCTTGGAGAGGTTGATCATCGTCCAAGGCAAGGAAAAAGCTTATGATCCAATCAGTTATGCAAGTTATTTCCTCTTATGTGATTAGTCTCTTTATATTACCTGATTCCACAATGAAAGATCTTGAGAAAATGTTGAATTCATTCTGGTGGGGATGAGGCAATAACAATAAGAGTATTAGATGGCTGGCGTGGGATAGATTGACTTGCCCTAAGAATGAAGGTGGTATGGTATTTCTTGATTTTAAGGCATTTAACATGGATATGGTGGCGAAGCAGGGGTGGCATATTATGATGCAACCAAATACTTTGGTAGCTAAAGTCTTCAGAGCTAAGCATTTCCCTTGTTCTTCATTTTTTGAAGCTAGTCTTGGTAATAATCCTAGCTATATCTGGAAAAGCTTATGGAAAGCGAGGGAGATTCTTATTCTGGGGTGTCGATTGAGGATAGGAGGTGGGAATAAGATTAATGTTATGTCTAAGTCATGGTTGAGAACGGAAGGAAAAAGGTGGGTGAGTGCATCACAAGGTCAAGGAGTGTGTAATATGAAGGTTGAAAATCGTATGCTTATGAATGGTAAACAGTGGGATGTTCAGAAATTAAAACAATTGTTTACTCGTGATTTAGTTATGAAAATTGAGAAAGTGCCTCTATATAAAGATGTTAGTGAGGATGGTTTAGTCTAGAAAGAGAAGCATTATGGTACCTATAGCATAAAAATAGGGTACAAGTTGTGGATGAGCGTTCAAAGTAATCTAAGAGGGGGGTGTCGAAGAAGATTGTGGTAGTTTATGGAGGGTAAGAGCCCCACCAAAAGCTAAATATTTACTTTGGAGAATCTATTGTGGTTGCCTTCCAACTCGAGATCGCCTGAGACAACATTGTGTTTTATGTCATACTATATGTCAGTTATGTGAAGGACGGGTGGAAGATGAGTGACTTGTTTTCTTTGGTTGTGAAATTTTATCACAATGATGGATTGTGGCGGGCTTGGGTGACATCATCCTTCCTCGATTACAAGCATTCAATGAAGCAAGAATGTTCAATCAAGATATGGCCATGTATACAAATTAATTTTATAATGAAGTAATTCTTTTTAAAAAGACAGTTAAAAATAAATTTACCAAAAAAAATGATAAATTTCTAGAACATACACTAACAATAAAAGACATGTGAATCATATGTTTATATTGTCATAGATATGTATCTCATGGAATCATAGATGTTAGTTGTAAAATTGATTTACACATAGTATACTAACTTTAATCTTATACTTTAAACTGTACCTTTAATCTCATACTTTAAACGCTTAAAATAATTTAGTTATCTTCAAATATCAAAAGTAAATTTAAGAATAGTTATCTCAAACTAGATGGAACTCATGTTTGAGTCTTAAAATATTCGAGTTGCTTATCACACACTACACAATTTGCTATAATTTAAATTGAATCATTTCTTAAATCCATAGTGAAACAATCCAATTTAATCAAATAATTTTAACTATTTATAATACTAGTAGTAGTAAAATAAACTTCCACCTTATGCATTAAAAAAAAATTACACAACGATTTTACCTATAAAAACCAATTTTATGCCTGATAAAAAGTAAACGTGGAAGTACTCATTTCAATCGTTGTACCAAAAAAATATGCACAAAAGTATAAACAATTTTACTAATCACTACAAAATAAAGCTGTGGTTCAGCATTTACAACAAAATTGGATTTCAAAAGAACAAAATTGGATTTCAAAGGAAAAGAGATCCATCTTTAACAACGGAAAATTTGCTACCGAGATTTGAGAACAGGAAGCAAGCAGTCGTAGAGGATCTTCAAGTTTGACATCACAGTGAGCTTGGTGTCTGTTTGCAGGCGAGGACTAGCCAATTTAATTATATCTTGTCGCAAACTGTTCATAATATTAAATGTCAATATTCATATTTTTATTGCACTGATATAACAAGCTAATATAAATCTAAATCCATGAGAGATTAGAACTAACCGCTGCCACTCTCCAGAATCTTCGGCGTGTCTCTTCACAACACTGTATAGACGATCCAAGCTATAAAGTATCAACCCAAACGTATACTTTGCATCTCTCTCCTGTAAGAGACATATATGGTAAACCCACTGTCATAAGTATTCTTGCATAAAATGTTGTGTATGTGTATATACTTGAAACTTCATTTTGGGAGAAGTAGATAAAATTAAGTCGGGTATAGGTTCATACCGATCCTTGCTCTACATAATTTTGATACTGCATAATCCTTTCCTCAGCTTCTGCAACAAGTAGCCTCCTTTGAATCCGAGCAATTCTACCTCTTCCCTCAGCTTTTGTATCCTGATTTACCAAGACAGGATATTAGATGAAGGTTCAAGAACATTGTGTAGCTACCTCCAATCAATATGATGCAAATAATAAAGTTATAAATGTTGGAATTTGTTAGTCGCGGGAGATATAATATTTGTAACAACTTTTAGTAAGCCAAAAACAGAAGTTAGTTAGAGAATGGAAGTTAGTTACAATAGGAGAGGTTAAATAGGAGTCAATTAGTAGTGGAAAACAGTTAAGGTTTACAGTATGTTATCTGGACTCCTATCTATTATAATTTATAAGTTCGTCATTTTGTTCAAATCAAACAAAAATTGGAAATTACCCGTTTGAACCATCCCCGGATTAACATAATGAGTAAAAGTGAGACAAAGAAGGCAGGTAAAGCAGCCAAAACAGCAAAGTTGATTTCATTTGCACGTAGAATTTGGTTTAGCTCCAGCATTGCACTGAAACAAAATATCATTGTAAGGAACTAAAATAATGTGAAATATTCATATAAATTCTCAGATTAAAAAACTCACGTCTCAATATCCAGTTTCAGCTTCTGAACCTGTAACATTGAATAGTTATAAGGGTATGCTTATTCAGGTAATGTGACTCAAACGACACAATGATATTTTAATATAACTAGTTTCAGCTTATTCATTGAATTTATATTGTAACATTGAATAGTTATAAGGGTATGCTTATTCATGGTGTGATGTAGATAAGTTATTTAGGATTTTTAATTTGAGATTCTTTATTGTTTTGTAGTATTTAGGGATCTTATTCTATTTTGAATTATCTTATCTCGTCCGGTCAAAAGGAGCACTCTTGAATATCTACCCTACATCAGGTTACTTGTGTCGTTTGAGTCACATTACCTGAATAAGCATAGCCCGAGCCAACTCTCCACTGACAAGGTTTTGAATAGGATGCATGAGCTCCTTCTCATACCTACATTTATACATGAAAAATATTAGATCATAACACTTATGGTGCTAAATCAGAAATCGCCCATGCTATTGCCAATTGCCACCAACATATATAATTAACCCTATTAGGAATGTTGTGGAAAACTGCTCACTGCCAGATCTATATATCTATATATTTACATTAACAATTCACAATCATCAAATTACTATTTTAGCAGCAGAGGAAGAGATAACTGTAGAGTGAATTATTATAATTAACAAATAAACATGAAAACCCTAAATCACTGGATCACCTGTCCATGACTATCTCGAGCATTTTCTGATCTGAGGCATTCACTGGAAATTTCTGACCCTTTGTCTGCTCACTGAAAGCCAACAACATTCTGCACAGAAATTTTTAGAAGTTAAGAAGAAAGTGTTATCCATGCAACTAGTGTGCTTGTGAATAACATCATGTAAATAAAGTATGGTCAGAAAGTGATATCCAAGATTAGGTGCTAATACAGGTTGTAGTCACACAAAAATAACTCAATATTGGTATTTTGAAGGCAATTAATCTCTAGAATGTCCTTACTGGCAGTATCTGGACAAACATCCATATATATTTCATTTCTTACGTATCGAAAAACTCTTCAGACACAAATATAGCTGATGCCACTTAACAAATATTTAATTACACTCCCATATGGTAAAAATAAATGGTTAAGAACATTCTAAGAACACCACAGTTGGTAACTGGAGTGCAATATATGCACAGAAGTAGAAAAATTAACATCCTTCATTCATTGTATAATTTTCAATATAAAACCCTTTTTTGAATGAAATTCTTTCACTGACAAATAATTGATGCATTTATCAATTTCCATTCCCAGATTAAATGTCATTTACATAGAATCAGTTTCAACATTCAAGCCACAGAAGAAACTTGATGCAACTTATAAGAAATTTCCAGCTGCTAAGAGTTTCATAAGCATAGTTACCCTGGCCTAATTCCTTCAAGCATTCCTTCACTGATCTAACTGTTAAGAGTCCCACATCGGACAATATATGGCATGAACATGTGTTTATAAGTGGGGGCAATCCTCACTCTACCAACCGGTTTTGTAGGGTTGAGTTAGGCCCAACCACATTTCTTAACATGGTATCAGAGCCTCGTTTAAGATCCGGTGGGCCACCTTCTATGGTTTCCGCTATCGGGCCACCCACCATTTATTTTCACGCTTCAGATGTCCAGTCCTGAGCGTGAGGGGGTGTGTTAAGAGTCCCACATCGGACAATATATGGCATGAACATGTGTTTATAAGTGGGGGCAATCCTCACTCTACCAACCGGTTTTGTAGGGTTGAGTTAGGCCTAACCACATTTCTTAACACTAACCATTCGCACACAATTCATCAATTTGCATGAATGCATATTCTATTATGAGTGAATTCTGGATAAACAAATTCACGAATAGCATAATTCACAAGAAGTTTCGGCATAATAGTCTCGAATAACATATATTGATTGTATATTGGTGTTTTTTTAATGGTAGCTATGTTACCAATCTCGTTCTGAACCCAATCCCATTATTGCGTTCGTTCCAGCCGAGTCACCCATATGTGACGGAACAGAACGGCCTGACGCGGTTTTCTTGATTTTGCTGTTCTGTGCCGAGATAACTGCCGAGTTTAATAACAGGGTAGAGTGCTTCTGATTCATGTAAATCTAAAAATGATTTCTTATTTACCATTAGCTTTTTTCTTTTTTTTTTAATTTGATCAAATCATCAATAAATATCTTATCTTAGTGGTCAAATATACATATAAAAGTGAATGAAACATAACTTTGACAGAAGAATGATATAGTTCCAGTTTCTATAAAATAATATTCATGAGAGTTGGAAGTCCATACTCAAATTGGAAAAGGCAACAATATATATTGAAAAGAACCACAGTAACAAAACTCATAATAACGAATTATTATTTTTAAGGTGAATACATTAATAACATGTATAGCAAACTTTAACGGTTATGCTAAAAAAATATTATGTGCATGCAAGTTGTATGCAGATTTATTATTCAAATCGAGAACAAACAAGGACAATGTATTTGAAAATCAATAACCTGTGTAGCGAGTCGGAAGTCAACCGCACCTCTTCAAGGTCCATAAGACCTTGATGCCTCTCCCTGAACGTCTCAAAAAGCTCATCTCGGATGGATAAAATCTGTATATATATTGCATCAGAATTGTATATGACATCATGAACTGTGGCGTAGGTCAAATAAAGGGATCAACAGTAAAAACATTTTTTATGACTGTTTTGCAACTTCGTTAGAAGTTTCTAGGTCATTTACTAGATAAAATCAAGCCCCGTGCTTCCTACCAGTGTTGATTTTTAAAGATAGGATTTAAGAGTTAGGGAAGAAAAATATATAAGAAATAGAAATTAGTCCAATGCTCATGAAAATTTTGTAGGAGTCCTATTTTATTATGGTTATTACCAATAGATTTTTATAAGCACGATGAGGTTGAGAATATTAAACAATGGTATCGGCAGCCACTAGCCACACCTCCTATTTTGTAAGGATATGATTATGGTCACACCCTCTTCATTTTGCCAAACATTGTGTTCTCATGGAGCATGGAAAGAAGGAAAAAAGAATGCAAGTCTGGTAATATAATAATGAAGAAACTTACCGGTTTCTCTATGTGTTCCGTAAAAAAGTCAACTGTTGAGTCCTTCGCATCCTGAATCCAATTATCAAGATCAGAACTTCCCATCAAGCTACTATGCCGTAAGAGCCAAAGGGAACATATTGAGAGACCAACGGCACCACATGCATACTGGACCCAGTGTTGGGTTATTTTCTTTGGTTTTCTATGTTTGACAACCTGAAAAGTGAAAACAAAAAAATTGTAAAATTGCATTTTGAAATTTAATCAACTTACCATGTAAACCAGGTATGAGCCAACAAAACTCGAAATCAGTCTGCATTATCAAAACAACAAGTGATTTGATAGTTTAACTTCAGAACCTCCCTAAATGCCTAAATCTAATAAATATGGTGAAAGTAAGACAGTGCATAGTAAATGACTCCAGTCAGGACAATATTTCCACTCCAAATGCCCAGTGAGGAAGTGCCAACTGCCAAATATGGCTGGGATATGGGAGAGACTTCTTGCTGTTGTAAGTTAGTTATTCTGTTAGGATTACTGTAAGTACCTTACTAGACTAGTAATTGTGACTAGTTAGTTCTCTATAAATATGAGCACACACTTGAATCACACACAGAACAATATTTTACATTTCAGTTCTTCAAATTCTTAAATTCTAAAATTCAATCTCTCAAACGACCAAAGTAGTCGTTCCCGAATAGCGGCGCAGAGCAGCCGACCTCAAAAATGGGATAGCAGGATACGGTATAACGGGATGACCGCTCTATTTGATCATTTTTTGGACGAATTTCATATAATATTTATAAACATATATTTAATGTAAAATCAAACAAATAACACGCCTGAATAAATATTCATAAATCAAATCACACGTAAGTGCATAAACAACTATGAAGGAAGGTTAAGGTTGAGTCTGTACTCAAATTTTGATCGAAAAATCTCAAAATTATCCAGTTATCCCTAAACGTTGTAAATTTAAGGGGTAATTTTGGTTTTTTAGAGGGGAAAATGATAGCGGGATAGAAACCACTCCGGACTGGGAACCGCTCTGCTCCGCTCGTCCGCTATTTACCCTATAGTGGCCACTATAGTGTGTTGCATCACTAAGGCTTTTCCCATAGCGGTCAACCTATGCTCCGCTCCCCTATAGCGGGATAGGACTGCTATTGGCCGTTATTGACTACTCTCCAAACGCGTAGCATTACAATATTGTATAAGAGCCTACTAAGATCACCCAAAGACGCCTCTAATTGAAGACACTAGAAGACTAAGATCACCACGAGAACTTGACCATATAATAATTTTTCCCAAAACCATGATATTATAAAAAAAAACAAAAAATATTCAAACAGTAATTCCGCCAAAAATTTAAGTGTAAGATTGTCTTACAAGGAAACATATGTAAGATTCCAGCTTGTCTAAATTATGGTAAATGGAATTGATAGCATCTCTAATTCCACAATCTGTCCATTGGGACCCATCCTGATTTATTTCTGGCAGCTCCTCAAACATCAGGGGACTTGAATAAGTCCCATCAACAGAAGAATTTCTCTGAAAAATAGAAAACATTAATTCTGGAATTAGCCATCAATAACACAAATGTACACTTCAGTTTTTCTTTAACAAACCATTGGTTCAAAGAAAAAAAATACACAAAGGAAGACGGGAATAATAATTAAAAAATAAATTGCTTTACTTATTCATGACAACCTGACACGTTGCATGTAGATGTCCAATTGAAGCTTCTAATGTTGAGAACAAATCATTAATTGTACCCAACAATGATGGAAGTTTATTCTCTGGATCTGTTAACAACTCTTCTCCAACTTTATCAACTTCAACGTAAATCTGAGCATGAAGAATCAAATTCGTAAATAATATCATTGGCAATTTGGCATTTAACAAAGTTAAGTTGGCAAGCAACTTTATCAGATATTTTAAAGTGAATTCATCCGTTTATGTTGTATCCTTTCATCATTTATTTCTTTGCTTCCAAAGTCATGTAATATGCCACAAGAACTTGAATTCTATCTAAAAGGTGCATTAAAGAAAATATGCAGAGACACCAATAACTGTGCCAAGGTCAGAAAACAGGCCGGTAGAAACAAAGTTAGGTCAATCAGATAAAATAGCAGTAGCCGATACGAAGTATATATATATATATATCTAAGCAATAACAAAATACAATATACTCATAATCATTCCAAATTTTCCTTTTACATTTGTGACAACCAATAACATTCAAATAAACAATGATTACGTAAAGCAAGTTGTAGTCACCCTAATCATGAAACACTAATAAACAATGAAAAGCCTGGAACCAATAAGCCAAACCAACCAAACCTGAGCCAAGAATATCGCCAATGAACATCTTAAGGAACTGAGAACAGATACTCTCTCATTAACATGATCAGATGCAGCTTGACATAGATTCTGTAAGGAAGAATCTTGAACAGCACGTCCGCGCAACAACTTAACCGTCTCGCCAATAAAAGCACGAGGACCTCTCTCAAAAACCATGAAATAAGCTTTCCTATTATCTGATTTCTGAACAGCACAGCACAAAAGTAAACAATCAGCATATAAGTATTTTCATAATGATAGTGTACAATGTTATCACATGAATTTACTCAATCAGTTCCACTATTATTGATGCCTACTTGTGAATATCAGTATCATGTTCGGTATGTAACTATATCTTTGCTTCATTTCATAGAATTTTTCACAAGTAACAAACTTAACCAAAACATGCAGATAAGAACAAGAAAAAAAGAAAAAAAGAAACAAAACCTCAGCTATGGATTGCCAAAACTGAAGATTCTTTTGAATGCGATGCAAGTTCGTCAAAACACGCTCCAACGCATCTTTCAAAACGGCATGAACTCTAGATGCGTTAGTGTTGTTCCTGAAAATGAAAACCGTGAAATAAAAACTTCAAAAACCCTAACATTCACTTCGTATTGAAAATAAAAGCATTTAAGCAAGAATTGATTCGTTTTTTGTTTATATATTTCATTGTTTAATCATATTTTGATTGAAAATAAGCGTACATAGAAGAGTCGAGAAAGGTGGAAGGTAAGGGGAGAGGGAGACATTCTCGACGGCGGGATGATCTGAAGGGAGAAGTGAAATTTGAGAGAAATTTCGACGGGGAGAAGAAATAGAAAGCGGATAATCGATTACGGAGGTAATCGAAATAGATGTGTGAGAGTGGATTTCTGTTTGCGGAGGATTCCGCTTCCGATGGTACGACCGCCATGACAACCACCGTGGCAACTTCCAAGCTTTGCGGTTTCTGACAAGCAAAATTTGTATACCCCTTAACAGAGCCGTCTCCAACAATTAAGGCTCTTCTCCGATATGAAAAATATGTATTTATTAAAAAAACCAAAGAAAAAAAAATTACACTGATAATTCAATATGAACATTGTTTTTAGGCTTTCCTCCTATTTTGTGTTTTTTTGGGTTTTGATTTATTTTAAAAATCATCATTTAGGTCTCCATTTTAAATTTCGAGATTGATATTAGTTCCCTTGTCATTTTAAGTCATGTTTTTAATGATGTGGCGCGTTGAATGATCATGTGGTATTTCCATGTCATTTAAAATGGTCTTATTCACCAAATATCATTTCCATGTCATTTAGGTTTTATTAATTTTATTTTTCAGAAAATTAAATTCACTTTTGGTAAAACCTCAACGCAGAATCTTCAACCATCCATTTTTGTCATTTCCATTTCATTTTTCACGAAGAACAATCCATTTCTTCAGCCATTTATGTAGCCATTTCTTCAAACCCAGTCCTCATTTCCTCAACAAACTCATATCAGTCCTTCTTTAGCCATTAATTTCGAAACTCATTATTTCAAAGTTTCTTCATACCCTTCTTCACAAACCCAACGTGCCTCCTACTTACCAACATGTTCGAAACGAATTTTTCTTTTTCCTCAACAAACCAGTATGGGTATGGTATAAGAAGAAGAGGTAATAGATGTTGGTGTGAGCTTGAGTCACCGTTGATGACATCATGGACATACGATAATCCCAGAAGAAGATTTCATGGTTGTAGTAATTTTAAGGTGACGAGGAAAAAATGATATAATTACTTTCAGTGGGTTGATGAAGACATGAGCAGTCGTGCTAAAGATGTGATAAGATCTTTGAAAGACAAGAATGAGGAGCTTATAGATGTGATTAAGGACATCAAGAAAAATGAAGGTTTGTTAAAGATGAAAAATTAGGTTTATGTATTATTTTGTGGGGTTATCGGTGATGTTTGTCTTTTTAATTGTGTTTGTATTAGTTGCAACACATGTACTTAAATGATGTAATGTCAAATGTTGTAGTTACTTTGATGTTTATGTAGTTGCAAATGAAGTAATTTCAAATGAAGAGTTATGGTTGTCTGTGTTAATAAAGTAGCAGCATAATATTGTAGTAAGAAGTAGCAGCATAACCTTGTAATAACACTCAAATTGAAACTGAAGTAATTTCAAATGAAGAGCAGCGTAACCTTGTTAATTTCAAGTGAAACTGAGTAGCAGCATAACCTTGTTAATTTCAACTGAAACTAAAGTAACATTGTTTATGTATTTGCAAATGAAGTAATTTAAAATTGAGAGAAACTTTGTGTATTTTCAAATGAAGAGTTACTTTGTGCAGTATAACATTGCAATGACACACAAATTGATACTTTATGTATTTTCAAATGAAGAGTTACTTTGAGTAACATTGTTTATTTCAAATGTTAAAGAAAGACTGAAACTGAAGTAGCACTGAAACTGAAACTGAAGTAGCAACATGTTTATTTCAAATGTTAAAGAGTTATTTTGAGCAGCATACTTTGAGTAATAACACTAATGTATCATAAAACTGATGTATAAGACTGATGTATCATCACATTCTAATAATAAACTGATGTATAAACTAGCAGCATACTTTGAGCAGCATAACATTCTAATAATAAACTAGCAGCATAAGACTGATGTATCATTACATTGAAGGCAAAATTACATAACAGCACTGTATGTAACTTTACATAGCAGGCAGCATTAAAGACAACATATTTTAACAAAAAGACCTTGAGTTTTTTGGTCATAACATATGTTATAGCAGCATCACAAAAAGTAAAGTAAAACATAGAACTATTCTTGGGTTGGTGGCGGTGCTTGCGACCCTCCGTCTATAACAGTTTGTCCCCCGTCTATAACAGTTTGTCCCGCTTTCTTGCCCGACTTATCACCATTTTTTAAGGTTTTTTGTTGCCACCTTTAGGAATCGCTCTCTCTGAAGCTCGCTTCCCTTTACACGTTTGCTTATTATGGCCAAAACTCCCACATTTCTTGCACTTGACAGTTTGAAGAGTTCTAGGCAGTGTATTTCTTAACCTCGGTTCATCATTCGCCTTGTTACGATTCTTCTTAAGACGACCGATAGATCTTCGCATGACTAGAGGGCTGATTGGGTTAGCAACATTAACATGCCATAGCTGTGGGCCATTGGTTGGCATAATAATATGGCTATAAGTAGGCCGAACAGTAGATTTCCTAGACAAAATGACACAATGATTTTAGTAAGTGTACAAAAAAGATGAATGTAAGTGAACATAATATGCGAGTAGGTGATACTTATAGAATGATGAAACATACTCTTCGGGCTCCTCCTTGCTATACCATATGCATACAATAGCATGACAACATGGTATTCCACTTAAATCCCACTTCCTACAACCACATTTATGTCGAAGCAAGTTCACAACATATATCTCAACACCGTTTGAAACTCCGAATATAGCAAAGTCATCATCTGCATGCCATGTTGCAATCCATCCTTCTGCTGCCCTCTTTGTTTTTTCCAAGACTTTTTGAATGTTAGGACTTGTAACACCTGTGTACCTACTTAATTTCTCCTTTTGAGCAGAGATTCTCACTGTTATGTAATGTTTGATTCCTTCAAGTTGTGAAGTGATCGGATTATCTATATACTCTAAGATTGCACGATTAAAAGCCTCACACATATTGTTGAATTGCAAACCACATTGTATGTCTGTTTTGAAATGAGACCGAGTCCAACATGCAGCTGAGACATCCATCATGTCTTTCCAAGCATTGACATTGAGCTCTTTCATATGATTCATTGCTCTTTCCCATGCAGGAATTGTTGTGGCTCTAGCTGCCCTCCATAAAGCCTCATTCATAAATATTCCAGGGTATTTCTTTCTCAAATTGCCATACAAGTGTTTAACACATAGTCTGTGTTCAACATGTTGGCTTGTCTCAAGAATAGTCAGTACTAATCCCTGAACATACATCAACATTGTAACAGCACATATCAACACATAAACATCACATAATACATATCAAATAGAAATAGCAGCACAAAACAAATAGAAATAGCAGCACAAAATAAATAGAAATAGCAACACATATCAACACATCATAGCAGCATATAACAAATAGCAAAATAGCATCACATATCAACACAACATAGCAGCACATAACAAATAGAAAATATCAGCACATAACAAATAGCAAAATAGCATCACATATCAAATAGCAGCACATAACAAATAGAAAATAGCAGCACATATCAACACAACATAGCAGCACATAACAAATAGCAAAATAGCATCACATATCAACACATAAACATCACATAACACATATCAAATAGCAATAGCAACACATAGCAGCACATATTAACACATAAACATCACACAACACATATCAAATAGAAATAGCAGCACAAAACAAATAGAAATAGCAGCACATAATAAATAGAAATAGCAGCACATATCAACACATCATAGCAGCACATAAAAAATAACAAATAGCAGCACATATCAACATAACATAGCACATATCAGCACATAACACATATAACAAATAACAACACTATAAAACTAACCTTCTGTTGATCTGATATAAATCCATATTTGTTGTCTTGTATAGATTGCAAGTCTTCTAGTAACAAATTAAGGAGCCATTGCCAAGAGTCTTTCGTTTCAGCTTCTACGGCGGCATAAGCGATTGGATAAATCTTGTTATTTTCATCCTTACCAACAACACCTATTAATTGACCTCTAAAGTCCCCTTTAAGAAAACAAGCATCCAGTCCTATTAGAGGCCTATAAGTCGTTGCAAACGCTGCCTTACAAGCTTCTAAGCATACATATATTCTTTCAAAGACAGGACCGCCATCTGAATCAACACACTTAATTTCAATAGTGGAGTTTGGATTTGACTTTAACAACTCCTCACCATAGCTTCTAAGATGTGTGAATTGTTCACGACCAGCACCTTGAATCAATTCCATTGCCTTTTTCTTGGCTCTATAAGCTTGATCATTTGACAACTTCAACCCCCACTTCTTAATAGTTTATGCAATCAGCCCTTTGGTTTTTATTTCAGGAGTGTGTCTTATAGTGTACACAAATTGACGACCCAACCAATCCGTTTTTGCTTGTCTATTTTTGGCTGTCCTATGACAACCATGACAATCAGTTAAGCTAACAAGTTACTAATATTGATTGGTAGTCCTCATGCTAAACCTAATATGAAATAGACAACCATCTAAACACTTGACAACCATTCTCTTCTTGTCATTTTTCTTGAATACAAGATTCTTCTTGTTCTCCATTGCATACATCTTTATGGCATCTTTGATTTGTGGTTTATCCTTGAACATCATCCCTACTTCAAGTTTTGTGGATTCCCTAAAGATTGGAAACTTTGCCATATCACCTTCAGCATCACTACTGGGTGGAGTTTGAAACACATATGAATCACTATCATTATCGGAATTACCATCCAACTTTGAAGGTTTTTCTGTTGTAGCATTAGGTAAAACGGTCTTCCAATTAATACCAATGTCAGCACCTAAACTCATCTCATCAATTTCATCTTCCAAATCTTCATCCTCTTCCTCGTCATCCTCACTGCCCATGCTATAATCTGGATCTGTTTCACTCTCGTCATCTACGTCATCAACATTAACGCTAACCTCTTCATCTACTCCATCGACACTAACATCTTCATCTACTCCATCGACACTAACCTCTTCATCTATTCCATCAACACTAACCTTTTCATCGTTTGCTCCCTCGACATTAACTTCACCGTTTGCTCCCTCGACATTAACTTCATCGTTTGCTCTCTCAACATTAACTTCATCATTTGCTCCCTCGACATTAACTTCATCATTTGCTCCCTCGACATTAACTTCATCGTTTTCTCCCTCAACATTAACTTCATCATTTTCTCCTTCACCGTTTGCTCCTTCACCATTGACTTTTTCACCATTATCCTCCTAAAAAATAACATCCTCAATACTTATTTCTTCAATTTTGTGTTCAACATAAAAGATCAACTACCTTAAATCCTCTAACATCCTCCATTAACCTTAAGACATCATTATTATTGTTCAGAGGCCGAAGTCCACGAGAAAAGGAAAATTTAGTATTCCAATACCATAAACACTTTATATTCCGATACCCCTCACTTTTGATCAAATCTTCAATTTGCATGTAGGACATCAAGTCCACATCCCAATCCCAATTCATTTTAGTTACAAGCCCACCAATATACAACTGAACTGAATTCTGAATTAAATGTTCCCTATGGTGTACTCTAAAACTGACAACTTGGGTATCAGAGGGCCTACAAAACACAAACGACATTTTCTGAATTTAAACATAGATAAAAATGAAAGTTGGTATAAACAAATCATATGCTATGACATAATACAAACGACATCTGTGTGTTTAGGGTTTTTGAATTCAGAGATGAGTTACGAAATATACCTCGACACGTAACTTCGGTTTGTCATTTCAGCGACAACGGGAGTTGATTTGCAGTTTGATTTGGAACAATAACTATAGAATCTTTAATTACGGTTCGTCCTCGTGCGTGAAAGGGGAAGAGTAAGAATCTTCATTCCTGAATTGGGTTTGAAGAATTAGCAAAAATGAATGGTTGAAGAAATGGGTTGAAGAAATGGGTTGAAGATTCTACGCTGGGGTTTTACCAAAAGTGAATTTAATTTTCTGAAAAATGAAATCAATAAAACCTAAATGACATGGAAATTATATTTGGTGAATAAGACCATTTAAAATGACATGGAAATACCACATCATCATTCAACCCGCCACATCATTAAAAACATGACTTAAAATGGCAAGGGGACTAATATCAATCTCGAAACTTAAAATGGAGATCTAAATGGTGGTTTTTAAAATGGGGAGATCAAAATTAAAAAAAAAAACACAAAATAGGGGGATCAAAGTTGCAATTAAGCCTTGTTTTTATTATGAAAATAATTGTTATGGATCACTCTAAAATATTTTAGATTTTATATGTGATTAAAGAAAAAGTCAAACATCTATAAAAATTTAACGACTTTAATTTATTGACAATATAAAAAAAAATTATACTGGCAGTATATTTTAGTTAAATTTTTTTATTATAATTGTTTATTTTATATTTTTAGAGATTTTAATTTAATTTAATTGCAAAAATTTTAGAATAGTTAAAACAAAACGAGTAAATTTGTAAAGGTGAGTTTTTAAAAATATTGTATATAATTTAAGAAGAAAATTTAGATACAATTTTTTGTGTGTAGTTTTTATTATTTTTAAATAAAAATATGAAAAATGAAAATTTCTATTACGCCTATGTTATTTATTTTTATTTTTACTCGATATTTAAGTGCATTTGTCATATTTTTATTAAAAAATGGTAAAAATCACATATGAGGATTTGTATCTAAATTTTTTCTATAATTTAATTGTACAATAAATGTATAATAATTTGTTGGATTGTTAATAGGTGATTTTGGTGTGTGAACCTATTAGCGTTTTTATTTTAAATAAAATAATTAAAATTTAAAATAGTTAAAATTTTAAAATAATTAAAATTTCAAAAAAAAAACACGCATTTGAGACTCGAATCAAAAATATTTTTCTCACAAAAAATATAATGAGTTATTTTTTCCACTCCATGGATGTCAGTTTACCATGGTGAAAAGTCATAAAGGCCCCTGGATATCATATATGTGTAAGTTTTAAAGTGCACAATCTAGGGGAAGAGTGAATTAGTATTTCTTGATTTTTTTAGTTTTATTTTTATATAAGTTTTATTTTTTTTTACTTTTTCGAAAACAAGTTAAGTGTTGCAACTTGATTAGAATAATGTTATACAAAAAATAAAAATGTAGAAAAGTAAATGACACAAAGATGTATACTAGTTACATTATCAACCAAAAAAGTACATCTAGTCCCCTCACTCCCTGTGAGAGATTTTCACTATTGTCAGATCTTTGTACGAGACACACACTAAGACTTTTTATATAATCTTCTAACAACAATAAAGAAGCACACCACTTCATTGATTTCCAACAACACCAACAATTATGGTGGAGTTTGAATCAAATCAATTCAAATGACCTTTTTACAACAATTACCAACAACTTGATGATCACAAAAATACAGATTTAACACTTGAGTTTGAATCTTTTTTGACTTGCTTGCATTACAAGATATATGAAAGTTTTGACTCTTCTCTTTTTCTTTGATCAGAATAAAAACATATACACTTAAGTGCTTAAAAACAATATGAATGAAACTTGTTTAAATGATATGAAAGTTTATGCACGAAGTTTCATTTGAATATATATGAACATTTAACAACTTTATTTGAATTGATTTGAAAATTACATTTTAAAAGAGTTTCATTTTACTAATGTATAAATTTTATATACATCAATAGGAACCCTTTTGAATGAGTACACAGTTTGGAGTGGTTATACGAAGGTTTGCAACATTTTAGACTCATGTTGATTTAGATAAAAACAGTTGTAATCGGTTACACATGTAACTTTATAAACATAACAAATTTTTGTACTTATAACCAGTTACATTAACTAGTTACATGGTTACAGTTGTAGCTCTAACCACTTTCGATTCATCATTTGAAAGGAAGACTCGCCACTTTTCTCCGTGTTTGCTGTTTGGTTGAAAGTTAGCCACAAATTTTATTTTCCTTGTATATGAGGATTTGAGAGCTCAACCTACTAAAAGCTCTTAAGAATTATTGGATACTTTCAAAAACAAATTTGGAGGAGAGGATTAGGTCTTTTTCTTTTGGGTGAACTTCTATAAGTTTTGGTGTTTTCTCTCTTCCCTTAATTTTTACTTTTCCCATTTTACTTTGTGAATTTTATTTTCCGTTGCTTACTTTCAAAACTTTTCTAAAATATTTTCAAACTCTAAAATCAATCCAAAACGTTTTTTTTTACATTCCAAAATATTTTTTAAAATTAAATTTTTTGAAAATACACAATTCACTCCACTTATCTGCGAAATCACATATCCAACAAAGAATTGTGAAACAATTTAGATCGTGAGGTATTGAGTTGATCTTGGATCTTATCCTCTTTAGGGCGAGCTAAATCGACTGCCTAAGTGATAGAACTGGATTGTTAAGCTAGAACCTCCTTTCATATTTCAATCTTGAGACAAAAAATAAGCAACTTAATAAATCCATGGAGGTATAACTACCGGTTGATCTAGTTTAACTGACTGATAAACCGAATGTATTCATCCATTGTTTGAAAATGAGAATGGTTTATTTAATGTTAATTTCATATTATCAATCTGGTTACTCTCTCAAATCAACAAAATGATATTTGACCATAAACGATAATAATATGAAACGTAAATATAATATCCGATAAGTAACACGTAGCGTAACAAATAATCTAAAGAATCCATAAAAAAAGTCAAACCGCCATTATTGACTAATCTAAATCTAAATTCTAATCACTCTTTCTTCAACTCTATAAAAACAACCACCCAAAAGAAAACACATAAAAAAAAAAAAAAAGAAATTAGTTATGGCAACTCTTGGTGGCACTACTGAGGTGGAATATACACAAAACAGCGTCGAGATCAATAACCTTGCTCTCTTTGCTGTTCAAGAACACAACATCAAACAGGTTTTGATTCAACTAATATTCATACTAATCTTAATTAATTTGATATTATTTATCTGTGTTTTTTTTACTCGATTGAATTGCTGTTGCTTATGTAGAATGGAGTTTTGGAATTTGTGAGAGTTTTAAGTGCGAAAAAACAAGTGGTTTCTGGAACGTTGTATGAGATCGTTTTGGAGACAAAGGATGGTGGGAAACAAAAAGTGTATGAAGCTAAGATTTTGGAAAAGCCATGGTTGAACTTTAAGGAAGTGCAGGAATTCAAGCTTGTTACTGAAAATGATGCTCCTTCTTCTTCTACCGTTTGATTGGGTATATAATTGCCACTTTTTTTTATAAAAGTTTAATAAATTTGATTAAAATATTACACTAGTATTTCACTCCTTTTTTTTTTTTTCTTGATTTTTTTCCTTCAGGTTATTGAAGATCAAAAGAATAAGATATAAAGAAAAAATATATGTTGTACAATGAATAAGTGATGCATGTATATTTTGCATCAATAGAATAATTTATGTCTCGTGTGCTTCAATTAAGTTTTCTTATTGTTCTTTATTTTTTTCTTGTAGTTTTCTTAGTGTTCTAATTCTTATCGTCTAGATATCGCCATCTATTTAAGTTGGATATTTGTCAAATAGATTATTAATGTTTGTATTGTATTTATATTTGAGGTTTTTTATATATAATTAATTAAAGGTTTTGTATCAATTTTCCAAAAAAATATAAATAGACGTAAAATCAGTATCAAATTATTGTAATTTTGATCGATAAATATAAGTTGCATTGCATCCTTGATTGAATGTTTTTTCATTAATTAAAAAATTATCCATCTATATATAACAAAGAATGTATGCATAGTGATTCACTCATATATTGACATACATCAATACATGTGCAACTAGCCTCCTAATAATCCGCAACGCCAGCGTAAACTTTCAAAGTCCGGCAAAACAGTAACAGCCATGCGCCCAGCTGTGACAACCGAGATCTCCAATTCAATCGCTTGCCAACTCACCTGATGTAATTCCGATCAACTGAGAAACGGAGCACCAAAAGAGCAGCTGAGTCCCTGTAATAACAGCCTGCTATAGAAAAATGGATCCACCAGAGATGACAGAAGAACGCTCCACTGGAGCCACTATGACCAAGAAAGGAACAAGCTACCACCAAAAACCACACAGCCTGTATTAGACAAAGAACAACGACTACGATCCCGGCGCGAGTAGAAAGGCTCACAACGGGACAGGCCTGCACCGAATCGCAGAAAATAGCAGGCTTCCACGCATGCAGCATCAACCAGCAGACTACAGAATTGGAACGAAGTCGGCCTGCCAAAAAATGTTGCTAGCAAAGCAGGCTTCACGCCAAAACCAAACGCATGCTCGATTGAGTTCAATCTCTGATCTTCTACCAACACGCATATCCCGATCTACAATCCCTCCTCTTAACGAAGGATTAACTTGGAATTCAAATACTATTGCATCAACTCGCAGTGACGTGTTTTGGATAGCTTCATATGTTTGATCACCTGAATCAGCTTTGTTATTAAAAATCTTTTTATTCCTCGCTTTCCATATGCACCAGATGCAGGCGAACCAAATCACTCTGACTCTGCTTGTTGTAGTTCTTCCACTGCCGAGTAAAGCTTTGAACTGTACACGATGATTTGCTCACTCTTTTGGCAGCACCGACTGTACTCCTAGCCACCTGATGACTTGAGACCAAATACCTGCATATGAAGTGCACTAAAAAAAAAGGTGAGAAGCCGACTCAACCTCTCCGCACTCGCTAACACACCGGATAAAATTCTGACCGATGACACCTCTCTTTACTAAGTTGTCTTTAGTTGATCGTCTATTGTGAAGCATTCTCCACACTAGGCATGAGCAATTTGTGTCTTGCATTCTAGTATTACAGTCGATCTCCCCATACTTATCATTCAAAGCTTTAAACTAAAGACTGAACCTCTTCTTTCTCAATTTCCAAACCCACTTATCTAATAGACTGAACCTCTTCTTTCTCAATTTCCAAACCCACTTACCTAATAGAGTCGAGTTGAAGACGCTCAAGTTTTTTATACTCAACCATCCCTCTTCGATCGGTCTACAGATTTTATCCCAAGTGATTCAATGAATTTTTTTCACCTCCTCGCAACTTTTTAATTCAAAACTTTTGTTGCATCTTGAATCCAGCATTGGCAAATATTAACACCCACAAGACAACTTTTATGGTAGTTCACTTTTAAACCCGACATCAACTCGAACAAGGTTAGATTTGCCTTTACGATCCTGATGTTGCTCCATTTTTCCTCTCCAATAATTAGAGTGTCGTCTACGTATTGAAGGTGGGAGAAGCTATCTGGCCATTTTTCAAATTTGTAACTAGAAAAGTTTCCCACCTCTACGGCTCTTTTATCAGAAGATTGAAATTTTCAGCTACTAAGAGGAATGGGAAAAGGGATAATGGATCCCTTTGCCTAAGACCTCTACCAACATCAAACTCCTGACTATGGCTAGTTGGCTACTATTCACCAGGACCGAGACCCTCGATGTTTTCAAACACTCCAAAATCCATCCTCTCCACTTCTCATGCAACCCATCTTGGACATAGTATGTCTAAAAAGTTCCAATCCACCTTATCATACACCTTTTCGAAATCAACCTTGAGCATAAGCACTTTTTTTTCTTTCTTTTGGCTTCGTCCACAATTTTATTCACAATTATAATCCCATCTAAAATTTGTCTTCCTAAAATAAACATCGTTTGAGTATTTGATATAATTGAGCGGATCATTTTTTTAAATCTGTTTGTCAACACCTTAGCAATAACCTTATATATGCACCCGATTAGAAAAATTGGTCTAAAATTCAAAAGTTTCGCTGAATTTTTTTCTTAAGAATTAAAACTATAATACTACTAGAAATTGGAATCACAAGATTAATAAAAATAGAGTAATTGAATGTGGAGAGAGTGTGAAAATATTTTCATTCAATATAGATTGAAAGACCCCTTGGATATTTATAATCAATTAAAGTATAATATATATTATTATATATATTAATAATATTAAAACATAAATAAAATAAAAAAGTAAATAAAAAATTATGACTTGGTCTCTTCCGCCCTACCAATGGGCGGCACACTTTAAATATAAACATAACCGCCCAATAAATGGGCGGCAATCATCAACCAAAAAATTCAAATTTTTTGAAAGTGTGGCATTATGGAATATATACTGAAACATGTGGTATTTTGGATATTTTTACCCAAAAAAATGGTAGGACCGTGTAAAATTCACATTGGTCTCTAGTGGGTGTCAGACTCTATAATTAAAATAATGCTTACGACATCTTCGACAACAGCTAGGTATAGATGCAAAACTTCCCTCGGAGATGAGCGGGTAAGTATCATAGGTGTTGCCAGGATTTTCTTTAAGGATCTAATTGTTTCTTCATGATTTATTGTCCATTCAAAATAATTTTTTTCTTAAATAGTCTATAGAAAGGTAAAGTGTGTTGTGCTGACTTTGAAATAAATCTTTTCAAAACAGGTAGCATATTGTTTAGATTTTGAACCTTATTCTTTGAAGTAGGCGATCTCATCTAAATCACCACTTCACATTTGTGTGAGTTTGCTTTGATGCCTTGCTCGGTTAAATAGAAACCTAAAAATTTGTCCGCCTTTATCCCAAAAGTATATTTTTTCGGGTTGAGGCACATATGTTATTGTCGGAATCTCTTGAACACTTGTTAAAGGTGTTAAACGCGAAGTTCCTATTGGCTAAACATTACATTCATATTGCAATCACATTACAATCATATTGTTAAAGGTGTTAAATGCGGATTTTCTAATGGCATCGAATTTTTTCAGAGATTATTTCCTCTAGTGTTGGGATACATAAAGAGTTTTTGCATCCATGTTCAGTTGGTGGCATGCCACACTGGGATTAATGTCGGGTATCTCGTGCTGGGTAACAACAAAAAATGAGGTGTTATCTTAGAGGCCATCAGTCAATGTGATTCTTACGTATAAAAGAAGTATGACGCATATTTTAATCGTCATGACGGGATCTTCCACGAGTTGAATGAACTTGGAATCTCCATATGGCATCGGCCGAAACTTGTCTTCATAGACATCTAGGTCGAACGCTTTGGGATCTCCTGGCTCTCCTCCTACTTCCACTTCTGAAGTCGCGACCGACACCAAGAGATCCATTTGGATAGCTTATTTAATTCATTTAGTTTCATCCACACCGACCATTGTAGAAATTGGTATTTCTTATGCATTATGATACATCACTTTGAAATGGACCAGAGATATTATTGCATATAGTCTTGCTAGGAAGGATCTTCCTAGAACGCCTTTAAAGGTCTAAGATCTATTATGAATCAAAGTCCAATGTCAAAGCCAACGAAAATGATCTATTATGAATCACATTCTATGATCAATGTTAACTGAAAGGTTCTACTTTGAATCAAATTTCTTTATGTTTATATATCAATTTTAATAAAATTTTGAGGTCTTTTCTATTATGTCTTAAAGTTTTTAGACTCTGTCTAAATACTTATATTTTAGCTTTTTAATGTTGTTTATCTTTTGAATATAAAAAATATCATTAATTTTATTTCCTTTACATTATGAACCTTTTTTTAAAATTCGAACAAAGACTTTAATTTGTTTGAGAGACCTTGGGAAAAAAATAATAAAATAAATATTCTAAGGTTAGTTACTCGGTACTTTATTACGGCTCAATTTTTATTTTCAAAATATAATTAATGAAATATATTTTAACTATATGTAATACAAGATTTTATTTTTAATTTTAGAAAATCATTTAAATTTATATTACCTTGCATGCTTTTGGTTTCTTTTGTTAAAAGTGGCTAGCACTGTAGCCATGTAGCAACCAACATGCATTTTTTGCGTCTCAATGTTTGTTTACCGTGAAAATTGAAGAAGCTACCAAAATAGTTTTGCTTGTAACTCCTTCTGGGAATTGTAACGTCATATTACTCCATTCTTTCACATCCATCAAACTCATTTAAGTTTTATAATAGGTTCCGCTTAATATTTTATATTTTATATTATTTTTTAGGCAATTTTATTCAATTAAAAGAGTAAACAACGTTCTTTACTACAACAATTTTAAAAGAGTAAACAATGTTCCCTTCTATACTCATGTCTCTCATCATCAACCGGGTTAGAAACCATAAAGCTTTTCACTGGTTTTTCCTTCTATGTTGTAATTCCAATGTTTTTCACTTAATATTTTAAACTTGCAGTGTTTTATCATATTCGACGAAAGAAGCCAT